GACAGTTTGATTTTTGGAGTTTCGGGTTCTTTTAATGTTTTAATGAAATCTTACGTGTTTTAAATTCAACATGTTTATAGTTAACTTGCATTAGTATTTTTTTTATCATTTTATTCCTTTTTTTGTCAGTTTTGCAAAGATTTATTTTTCTTCAGAAATCAAACATCTGTTCTTCTCAGTATTTTTAATTGCCACATTCAATTCCATATGAGTAGATGCAGAATCAGAAAGCATAAAAGAAAAAGCATGAGCACTTTAGACTGAAGGGAAGGTTTGTTGTTTCTGTGCCGCGGTGGAGTTTGTGAGAGTTTAAACTGTGGGACTGATGACGTCTGAGTTCCCAGCTGATGGGAGTCTGATGAGCGTCTCTCTGGGGAAGCAGAACAGTTTCAGAGGAATGTTGCTGCTGTTAGACTTCCTTCTTCTGTGAAAACAACAAATACTCTCAATCACAGCAGCTTAATCCAAATTTTAATTCTGTTCCCTTTATTTCCCCTCTGCACAGGTGTCCGGTGTGGTGATGATCGGCGTCGGATTTGCCTCCATTGATGGCAATACACCGGTTGCTGAGGTAACTGTGTAATTGTGTTAATCATTAACAGTTTTAGAGACAGTTAAGCCTGTTCTATACATCACCGTTACATATTTCTATTTCGCACCTCTCCAATGTTCACCATAACTAGAGGAACAGTATATAACTCTGCCCCCTTGTGTTTAAAATGGGTACTGCAGTCTAAATTCTAAACATCATAGAGAGCTGTCTCCCCCCCCTCCTCTCTAGAGTGGATGCTCTCACAGGTCACCATGTGGTGGACTCTGAAGCTTCAGTGTTTATCCAGCTCTGCATGGGTCTGTAAACCTTTCTGTGTTCTAACCTCTCTCCATTTTTCAAAAGCATCTCCAATATTGATTTTCTTATATTTTCTTTCCAAAACATGGTAATCTGAATAGTTTGGAATCAAAACAATAACTTTAAACAGCAATTTTATGAGCCTTCTCATATGTCTCGGTATAATAAATAAGTAATAGAGAATGAAAAGCTGAAAAACAGGAAATAATGGTGATAAAATGAATACTATAATATTATTATTTATTTATTATTATATCAGAACTTTTCAAAATCAAAGTAATAAAAGGCTTTACAAGAATGGCAAAATAAAACAGGAAGGTTATGAAATCATAAGCAAGATTAAGAAATAAACATTTTAAGACTTAGAATTCATTTCAAAGAACTCTAAAACAAGAGAAGAAAATTAAAATTAAAATAATTAAGGACAGACTTGTGATAAAAGTACATTTAGTGGATCTCTCCCTCTCTTTCTCCCAGTTGTTTGACCAGTTGTCCAGTAGTGATGGTTTGCTGGTCCTGCAGGTGTTCGGTCCAGTCACTGTGGTTTTATCTGTTCTGGGTATTTGTGCAGCAACATTGGACCTCAAACCTCTTCTATTGGTGGTAAGACATCACTTATCTAACCCCAAATGGAAACATTTTCTTAAACCTAAAGTTCCCTGACCCCCCTTATGGGGACCAGGAGCAGTTCCCCATGAGGAAGGAGAGTCCCCGTTATGTTATATAAACAGAAACAAACAAAAGTTGAAGCTAATCTGTAAATTTGGACCTCAAACATTTCCTTTTGATCGTAGCAAACTCCTTTTCTTACCCCAAATTCAAACCTTTTCTTACACCTAAAAATGACAGACCTTTAAAGGGGACCTGCTTTGAGTCCCATAAGGAAGGACAGTCCCCGTAATGTCATAAAAACAGGAACAGTGAAAACTTTAATCTGACGTGTAAATATCTTCTCCAGTTTTCTGCTCTGATATTTGTGGAGTTTGTGGCTATGATGGTTGTTGCCTCCCCGCTGGTCCAAGTTCAAACTCAGGTAACTCTTTCCACCACTGCCCCCTAGTGGCCTTTGTGTTTATTACACCCCACAATCTTAAACAACCCTCTGTTTCTCAAGCTCACTGTATGTTTTCTTTCTGTTTTTCAGATGGACAGTGCGGTGGAGGAAGTGTTTTTCAATGCGACTCCCCTGCATAGAGTGGATCTTTACATCCAGGGTGAACTAAACAAACTGCAGGCCTCGGTGAGAGAAAGAGTGATGAGGGAATAGATAGAAGATATAAAGCTGATTTGATATTAACGCTCTAATCGACGCTGTCGTATACGGCATAAGGAATATGTCTTTACATCATCAGCAACTTACTGTAAAATCCTCTCGCTTTGTCACATCGGCGGCGTTCAGGGAATAAACCTTGTGTTTCTGCAACATCCAGGTGTTTTAATATCCCACTGAGAAGATCGTGTATATTCAGTGACTATCCGGATCCAATCCTCCCAAAAATCAGAGGCTGTATCTGTGATTAGAAGACTCAAAATTAATCTAATTAAACATCAAAATGTAAAGAAACATAATAGTGGTTTAACTTGTTACTGGTGTGATTAGCCTACTCTATTAGCCCCGTATGATATATATGTATAGATGTGGTGAAACTTGAGGTAAGTTTGGGTTTAATTTGTTGATGTCTGTTTCTCAGGACTCCTGTTGTGGTTTGAGAAGTTATGAAGACTGGGAGAGTCAAATACCTCTCTCCTGTGTTTGCAAACCCACTGTTCCCCCTCCTGCCTCTGACACACAGCCGAGGTATGAAAAATCAACCTTACATAGAGATTTAAGCTTTTTAACAAGATCTACATTATCTATCTATAATCTTTATGTTTAAAGGAGGAGTCAGTAGCATGGTTTGTTGCAGCTTGTAAACTTAACATTCAAACTAGGCCCCTCCTCTTGGGCTCAACGCCCCCAGAAGCCCCGCCCCCTGCAGGACGTAGTGTTTACGTTTACTGCTTGTAGCTACACTGCAAGCTAACGCATGCTAGCTCAAGCTAACCGCCGGTATTTGTCACCTTCCTGTCCAACAGGAAGTAGCTCAACTCCACGTCCACGGGTAAAAGACAACACAAGGTTCACCCTCGTTTTAGAACGATCTTTATCCACTTGGTGTTTCTCCTCACTCTGATTTTATTTTCTCTTCTTTGCTGCTACGTCCACGTCCGTCATATTCACCGCTTTGAATCTCGTCCAATCACTGAATTAAACATTTCGTTGTCTCTGTACTTGTACTCTGCACAATGACAATAAAGTTAAATCTAATCTAATCTAATTGTATCCACTCCTTAACTCACCTGCTGCGCTGTCATTGGCTGGAGGAAACACACCAGCTCCACCCAGAAACGTCTCAAGTCAACCAGAACAAATCAGAACAGTAAAATCCAGACATGAAAATGTGTTTTGACCTTTCAGTTTCGATACAGAATTTCAAAGAAACTTGAGACTTTTTGAGGGATTTTATTTATTCAAAGTGTAGGAGGGTTAGGGTAAGGACTGCTTACATCTTTAATGAAATGTATAATAAAGGACACTGAATAGTAAGATTTAGCCAAATCGCCAAAAGCTGAACAATTTCTTTCATGCTTCTGTGTTTCAGAAATGTTACTTGAGTTTTGTTTATCTGTAGTTCTCTTCTCACAGCTCTCAGCAGGTTAACTCTGATGCAGAAGGGTCCTGTGTGAAGGTGGACAGAGACCAACATACTGCACAGGTGACAGAAAAGCTTTTGGTTCACTCCCAGGTAAAAACATGTCTCATTACGTTCCTTTTTTAGCTTCTTAATGAATCTTTTGTTTTCTATTCCTCCCTGCTTTAATTCCCTAATAGATTTTTATGACTATTTTTTATTTGTACCAGTAATAAAACTACTACTGCTATTATTATTATTATTATTATTATTATTATTAATTCTGACCTTTTCTTTATTCTTTCAGCTTTCAATAGACTATCAGAAATTAGAAGTTTTGTCCTTAAAATGTTCTCCTCTCTATGTATATAGTTTTTTTTCATTTTTGGATGTTGACCTTTGACTTCTGTTTTTTGCAGCCCTGTGGTCCCATCCTGAAGAGCTACATGAACTTTCCCATCAGACTCAGGATAGGAATCATTTCAGCCTTCTCCACCATTACGGTACACTCATCCACATCTATTTAGTGAGCTCGTCTTTGCTCGATGTTTTCACTTTGACGTCATCATGATTTGTAAATTATCTGTGAAAATGTTATCCACTCGCAGAAATGTAAAAGACAACGATAATGATAACCGTAAAAGAACTGCAAAGAGCCCAAACTTCAGTTTGTTGGGTAGGAAGATATTAGAAATGTTTAACTCTAAAGATAGATATGGTTTTTAACTGTCTTATGAAAGGCAATACACTAATGTCCTAATACCACTTTACAATAACAAATGCAGTATTATGTATATTGAACAAAACCCAAAAGTGAACATGCATCCTAGAGAAAAAACGGAAATTAATAATTATTATCCAAACCAAACCATCCAAATAAAACATACTGATACTGTCCTCCGAGGGCTTCCATCATATCATACATACCAAGAGATGCCCTGTCATAAAGACAGGGTCCTCGTTTGGTCTGTGTAAAGTAATGTTCATTAGGGAACATAAAAATGTGTGTGTGTGTGCGCGTGCGTGTGTGTGTGTGTTGCAGATGGCAGCCATCGCTCTGTGTCTCGCTTTGGGCCTGGAGGAATACTGGAAGAAGCCTCCCGTTGAAACTACAGTTGTAGACTTTGACAGAGTAAAGTACCAACCCAAGCCTTCTCCAACATGACCTCTGACCTCTGACCTCTTATCCCTGCCCAGCAATTCAGCGTCCATTTATACTACCGGTGAAGATAGCACAAGTTTAACAAAGGTCCAATCTTGGGCATATAAATGTTTTTTTATACTGAATATTTATAATTGACAGAATGAATGAACTCTAATAGGACTATGTTATTTTGTGTAATGGTACACCAAAGTAATATCTTCCTCATGACATCAATAATGTACCTTTGTTAATGATCCCTAACCACTTCCTGTTTGTGTGCTTAACTTCCTTTCCTAACCTTCCATCTACCAGAAGGGCCTTACTTAATTTCAAAATAAAAGTATACAGCAAGTAAAGTACTCTCAGCTTAAGACAGGACAAAGATTCAAAATAAAGCCTGACAATTTTTATTTTTAAATTCAAAATAATGGAATTTCAAAAGTGTGATTAAAAATTTGATTAATTTGAATTAACTGTTGAAATTCAGTGATTAATTACGATTAAAATGTTGTTAATTTGACAGCCCTTAAATTCAAGTTTGAAAATCAGCTCATTTGACTCCTGTAGCAACCAAAAGACTCCACCCAATGAGCTCCCGTGTTGTTACTAAGATCGGCTGTTAAATATTTATATAAAGAGAAATTACTGCTGTTTGATTTTTGGTGTGATGTTTGATTTTTTTGCTTTGAATAGCATGCAGCTAATAAAGTGTATTTTATGAGTGACGTCTGTGTTCTTTACATGTATTTTCCTCCAGCAGACACAAGATGGCAGTATTGTATATATGATGCTTCCTGCAGAAGATCTACGCCAATCAGCCATTGCATCATGACCACCTGTGTGATCTAATGCAAACCAATACAACAGCTCCATAAATTCTACTTTTATGACGCTTCTTTATAGTCAGGTGATGTGGTCATGGTCAGAAAAGTGATAATTCTACTTTGTATTTATGTTTGGAGTCATAGTGGGTGGTTGTGGTGTGTTGGAGTTTGTCATATTAAAAAGTGTTCCTAATATTTTGCTCTCCTCATGTACGTTAATGATGGGACTAAATATGTCCCACCCCATGTCCCCAGAAAAGTTCATCTAAAATAACCTCTAATGTAATTTTACTTTCAACCAGTTCCTTTTCTACCTTCTTCCTTTTCCTTTAATACTGAAGGACTCTTTACACAGCGGCCTCTACCATCAGTGTGTGAATGTGTATGAATGGATGAGTTAATACTGAAGGACTCTTTACACAGCGGCCTCTACCATCAGTGTGTGAATGTGTATGAATGGATGAGTTAATAATAACTTTATTTATATAGCACCTTTTAAAAACACAGGTTTACAAAGTGCTTTGACAAACAGTAAGAACAAAGCAAACTAAAACAAACACAGAAGAACATTAACAACAGTAAGAATATAACAGATGCAAAATACTAAGAATAATTAAATACAATTCAACAGAAAAGAACCCAAAGTGCACGATACACAACCAGACATATATAACCCGACCATCACAAGAACCATCATAAGAACCCAGGCAACACAAGAACCCAACAACACGAGCTGAGACAGCAATAAGAAAGTAAGAGCAGTAAAAGAAATAAAAACAAGTGGTTAATGGATCAAAAAACCCAAAACTATTATATTAATAAAAATAAAAAGTAAATGTAAATATGAAACATAAATAGACAAAGTAAGTAAGATAAGAAATTACCAAGTTAAAACACGAGGAGATTAAGATATGAGCATAAATACGAGATAAGACCATAAATAAAAGGACAGTAAGAAGTAAAAGAAGATAAAAATAATAAAACCAGTAAGAGAATACATTAAAAAGGCGACATCACATAAAAGCAAGTCTGTAAAAGTATGTTTTAAGAAGGGATTTAAAAGAATTGAGGGAATCTGCGAGTCTTATCTCCTCAGGGAGGTCGTTCCAAAGTCGAGGGGCCCTGACTGAAAAGGCCCGGTCACCTTTAGTTTTAAGTCTCGACTTTGAAACGACCAGAAGGCCCCCACCTGAGGATCTAAGACTGCGGGCTGGCTCATATGGTGTCAGTAGCTCTGTTATATAGCTTGGAGCCAGCCCCGTCCGTGCTTTAAAAGTAATGAGTAAAATCTTAAAATCGATTCTAAAACGTACAGGAAGCCAGTGTAATGAAGCTAAAATTGGAGTGATGTGATGTCGTCTGTTACAACCAGTAAGAAGCCTAGCTGCTGCATTTTGGAATAGCTGGAGGCGAGACAGTGACTTATTAGTGATTCCGGAAAAGAGGGAGTTACAGTAGTCAAGTTGGGAGAAAATGAGGGCATGGATGATCTTTTCAAAGTCTGGTTGGGTTAGAATTGTTTTAATTTTGGAGATGGTGCGTAGATGGAAGAAGCTTGATCGGACAACTGTTTTGATATGGGATTCAAAGGTGAGATTGCAATTGAATGTTATTCCTAGATTTCTGGCGGTGGGTTGGACATTGGTGAATAAGGGACCGAGGCTGCTCTTTGAGATATGAGTGGAGTTTGGCGGGTTGAATACTATGATTTCAGATTTAGAATTGTTCAGTTGGAGAAAGTTTTGTGCCATCCAGCAGTTGATATCGTTTTGGCAGTTTCTGACAGCAGCTAGGCTCCTACTGTCCTCAGGTCTCAAAGGAAGGTATTTCTGTGTGTCGTCTGCGTAGTAGTGAAAGGAGACATTGTGGCATTCAATTATTTGGCCAAGAGGCAGCATATAAATGGAGAATAATACTGATGGACTCTTTACTCAGCGGCCTCTACCATCAGTGTATGAATGGATGAGTTAATACTGATGAACTCTTTACTCAGCGGCCTCTACCATCAGTGTATGAATGGATGAGTTAATACTGATGAACTCTTTACTCAGCGGCCTCTACCATCAGTGTGTGAATGGATGAGTTAATACTGACGGACTCTTTACTCAGTGGCCTCTACCATCAGTGTGTGAATGTGTGTGAATGGATGAGTTAATACTGACGGACTCTACTCAGCGGCCTCTACCATCAGTGTATGAATGGATGAGTTAATACTGATGAACTCTTTACTCAGCGGCCTCTACCATTAGTGTGTGAATGGATGAGTTAATACTGATGGACTCTTTACACAGTGGCCTCTACCATCAGTGTGTGAATAGGTGTGAATGGATGAGTTAATACTGACGGACTCTTTACACAGCGGCCTCTACCATCAGCGTGTGAATGGATGAGTTAATTCTGATGGACTCTTTACACAGCGGCCTCTACCATCAGCGCGTGAAAGCGTGTGAATGGATGAGTTAATACTGATGGACTCTTTACTCAGCGGCCTCTACCATCAGTGTGTGAATGGGTGTGAATGGATGAGTTGATACTTTACTCAGCGGCCTCTACCATCAGTGTGTGAATGCGTGTGAATGGATGAGTTAATGCTGACGGACTCTTTACTCAGCGGCCTCTACCATCAGTGTGTGAATGTGTGTGAATGGATGAGTTAATACTGATGGACTCTTTACTCAGCAGCCTCTACCATCAGTGTGTGAATGGGTGTGAATGGATGAGTTAATACTTTACTCAGCGGCCTCTACCATTAGTGTGTGAATGGGTGTGAATGGATGAGTTGATACTTTACTCAGCGGCCTCTACCATCAGTGTGTGAATGGGTGTGAATGGATGAGTTAATACTGACGGACTCTTTACTCAGCGGCCTCTACCATCAGTGTGTGAATGGGTGTGAATGGATGAGTTAATACTGACGGACTCTTTACTCAGCGGCCTCTACCATCAGTGTGTGAATGGATTAGTTAATACTGACGGACTCTTTACTCAGCGGCCTCTACCATCAGTGTTTGAATGCGTGTGAATGGATGAGTTAACACCAACGGACTCTTTACTCAGCGGCCTCTACCATCAGTGTGTGAATGGGTGTGAATGGATGAGTTAATACTGATGGACTCTTTACTCAGCGGCCTCTACCATCAGTGTGCGAATGGGTGTGAATGGATGAGTTAATACTGATGGACTCTTTACTCAGCGGCCTCTACCATCAGTGTGCGAATGGGTGTGAATGGATGAGTTAATACTGATGGACTCTTTACTCAGCGGCCTCTACCATCAGTGTGTGAATGTGTGTGAATGGATGAGTTAATACTGATGGACTCTTTACTCAGCAGCCTCTACCATCAGTGTGTGAATGGGTGTGAATGGATGAGTTAATACTTTACTCAGCGGCCTCTACCATTAGTGTGTGAATGGGTGTGAATGGATGAGTTGATACTTTACTCAGCGGCCTCTACCATCAGTGTGTGAATGGGTGTGAATGGATGAGTTAATACTGACGGACTCTTTACTCAGCGGCCTCTACCATCAGTGTGCGAATGGGTGTGAATGGATGAGTTAATACTGACGGACTCTTTACTCAGCGGCCTCTACCATCAGTGTGTGAATGGATTAGTTAATACTGACGGACTCTTTACTCAGCGGCCTCTACCATCAGTGTATGAATGGATGAGTTAATACCGACGGACTCTTTACTCAGCGACCTCTACCATCAGTGTGTGAATGGATTAGTTAATACTGACGGACTCTTTACTCAGCGGCCTCTACCATCAGTGTGTGAATGGATTAGTTAATACTGACGGACTCTTTACTCAGCGGCCTCTACCATCAGTGTTTGAATGTGTGTGAATGGATGAGTTAATACCGACGGACTCTTTACTCAGCAGCCTCTACCATCAGTGTGTGAATGTGTAGGTGTGACCTGCGGTGTAAAAGTCCTTTGAGTCATCAGAAGACGAGAAATATACGAGCTTAACTCCATTAATCAATTACTTTTTTCAGTTGTATAGTTCTGCAATGTGCAAACAGTCACGACTGTTCAAGGAAGTGAAATCCCAGCAGGGTTTTTTTTAAAGGGTTGGGCTCAAGTCATATAAGAACAGCAACAATGCACAATACATTCAAACAGCCAGATATAGATCTAAGTGACTTTCCATGTGTGTTTATATTTCTGCTTGACTTTATTTTCAGTGAGGCTTTTAACAGTTTCTTATACTGACATTGATGTTCTTAAGTCTTAATATTGTTCTGTACTGTAATTTCCCTAATTTCATCCGGAGATTTTGGTTCTTTTGTGTCAGTGTTCAGGTTCTGAGAGTCTATTAATGTTAAGCAGCAATGTAATAACTCTGACACCTAGTGTTTAAAATGGGTACTGCAGTCTGAATTCTAAACATCATAGAGAGCTGTCTCCCCCCTCCTCCTCTAAACAGGTCACCATGTGGTGGACTCTGAAGCTTCAGTGTTTATCCAGCTCTGCATGGGTCTGTAAACCTTTCTGTGTTCTAACCTCTCTCCATTTTTCAAAAGCATCTCCAATATTGATCCTAGTTTGAGCACGTTTCTGCTCGTGGAGCTTATTAGAAACATGCAGAGGCTTTTTAGGTCGGGTACAATCACTTGGGGGGGGGGGGGGGGTCTTAAAAGCGCCTACCTTCTCTGGTCCAAACAAATCCAGAGCATTCAGGAGCAGAATCTAAAGTTAGAAGGAGGACATACTGGCTGCTGCATTGTTGTCAGAGAAGCCAGCACTTCAACATAGCATGTTTCCTTAATGATCAGAGAGTAAGATACCTTTATCATCTCACTCTCTACACATCTCACTGACTGGACCTTTTATTATTTTAAGTTCTCAGCAACAAGCAGAACAAAACCAAGACAACCATCCTGAGCTCAAATAAGATCTGTGTTTTTGGTCTTTGACTTTTAGTGAAGGACAAGCTCAGCTCATTGACAGGATGCATGATTTCCTCTCAAGGGTGTAACTGACTCTTATTAGCAGTTCCAACCTGCAGAAACAAGCTCACACTTGCACAACATTACATAGAAAAGATTGACCTGTTTACTCTTAGTGTGAAACTTTTCATGCCTTTGTCTCGTTCAGGACTGTCTTGTAAAATACATTTTGAATCTCAGTGGAAATATTCCTGGAAAAATAAAATCTCATTCTATTAGTGAACAATGTTAAGCATCAGAAATAAAAACAGCAAACCCCCTTTCTTTGGATTGAAAAGTGTGCGAGCATGAATTCCCTTTAGTTCTTGGATTATTTCTGCTAAATCTTCATGCTGTACGCTCTCAGTTGGGTGAAAGTCACGTCATCTAGAAGGTCTTTGCATTAGATGATTTTAACAGAGGCTGCCACAGGATGTTTACTTCCTAACATCGTGCTGTACAACTGAGTGGGAGCATCATTAATTCATGTTCCTACTTGTGATCATTTTCTTTATTAGAGTACGCAGTTAAAACAAGCTTGCTGAAGATAAAATGAAATACTCCTCTCTGCGTGGACGGACACTGATGGAGATGTAAAGCAGAGGATCTGCAGCTGTAAACACTCAGAGCTGATGTGATCGTACATGTTGGTCATGCAACAAAAATTCCCCTTAAACTCAAACATCCCTGAAATAATGAGAAATGAACTGATTGATTTAGTCACTTCAAGGAATTTGTTACAAAGAAATTAAATCTTAAAAATGGGAGATCATAGAGAGCTGCCCCAGTGTCTCCCAGTGTCATTAAAACCAATAAACAGCTGCTAATGAAGTTTGTCTTGTTACAGCTGCACTTTGATGGGAACACAATGAGATCACAAGAAAACTGGGCAAAAAGGAAATTCACATCGGTGGAGATTTTCATAATTTATAAATCAGATAAAAGAACTTTTAACTGCTGCTGAGATCATTTCACTCTCTCTGAGGTCACCCCTCCAAAAGTATCCTCATTTTAAACTCTCTGCTTCTCCTCCAGTATCATTTCATGTCCTCATACTTTAAGACCATCAAGATGTCTTTGCTGCCTCAGGCGCCGTGTCCACAGAACGTTTTCTCTTCTCTTCTCTGTAGAGTTTAGCTCAGGACTTACTGTGTCTGTTTCTTTCCCTTTTTGTTTCCCCTGCGCTCTGCCGCCGTCTCCTGCATCCTGTGACACTGCGGAGTCAGTGAATCAGGAAAGTCACTTTTCCTCCTGTGAAAACTTGAACAATGAGCCTCATAAATCCAAACAGCTCCGTGCACATTCCTGGACTCTGAGATGTTTCCTTCTTCATCCTGATCAAAGTTTGAAGAGGGGTTCATCTCCAAGGTTTGGACCAGAGCTTGTCAGGTCGGCATGATAACGACACTAAGGCTTCCGGACTTGTTCATTGGATGTTTTTATTCTGAATTGACCCGATATGTCCCCGTGTCCACCTAGCGTTTGTTTTCTGAGCGCCAACGTCTCTTTCAGTTGTTTCCAATGAGTCGGTGAAAAGCAGCCGGATGCTGCCGCAGGTGTTACGTTTGTTTTGGAGTTTTTTCAACCAACGCTCCAAATGCAAAGAACGGTGTAGCATGTCCTGGACATGCATAAAGGGGTGAATAACTTTACTATAGCTAATGGAAGCTCAAGGGCACCTCGGCAGTGCTCAGGAAGTGGACTGGCACCTCTCCAGCTACCAGACCAACTTCTGAACTTGGTCTGTGCTGGACTTGAACCGGCGACCCTTAGGTTCAGAAGTAATGGTTGTTATAGCTGGAAGTGATTGAATGCTAACGTAACTGGTCGGTAGAGTTACCTAATGAAAGGAAAAAAAAATGCTGTAAAATGGAGCTAATGGTAAATGGCAGAGACTGTCTATAAATATGGGCATAGTCTGTGTGTGTGTGTGTGTGTGTGTGTGTGTGTGTGTGTGTGTGTGTGTGTGTGTGTGTGTGTGTTTGTGTGTGTCTGTGTTTGTGTGTGTGTTTGTGTGTGTGTTTGTGTGTGTCTGTGTGTGTGTGTGTGTGTGTGTGTGTGTGTGTGTGTGTGTTTGTGTGTTTGTGTGTGTCTGTGTGTGTGTCTGTGTATGTGTGTGTGTGTGTGTGTATGTGTGTGTTTGTGTGTGTGTGTGTGTTTGTGTATGTGTGTGTGTGTGTGTGTGTGTGTGTGTGTGTGTGTGTGTGTGTGTGTGTGTGTGTGTGTGTGTGTCTGTGTTTGTGTGTGTGTGTGTGTTTGTGTGTGTCTGTGTATGTGTGTGTGTGTGTGTGTGTGTGTGTGTGTGTGTGTGTGTGTGTGTGTGTGTGTGTGTGTGTGTGTGTCTGTGTGTGTGTGTGTGCTCAGCTCTCCTTTTTCTCAGCTCTCCTTTTTCTCCTCCTTCAGTGAGTTCTGAATCTCTGAGACGAACGACAGAAGTGAAGATGGGAAAAATTAACGGATGCCTCAAATGTCTTTTTATCTTCTTCAACGTGCTGTACGCAGTAAGTACTTATCTTTAAGTTCAACCCTAACCCAACCCTGTATTTAAAATTAAATTGTATTTAAGCTGTATTTAAACTGTATTTATACTGTATTTAACCTTTATTTAAACTGTAATCAAACTGTATTTAAACTTTATTTAAACTTTATTTAAACTGTATTTAAAATTAAATTGTATTTAAGCTGTATTTAAACTGTATTTATACTGTATTTAACCTTTATTTAAACTGTATTTAAACTTTATTTAAAGTTCTGTCTTTGGGACAAAACAATGAAACACTGAAGGTAGAAAAGCATCGAGGACGTAAAACCTTTTTGTCTTTATTATTTAATCGTTTTATCCCTCGGAGGATTTTTTAAACATATTTGACGATTTTAAAACAAGAATCATATTAAATCATTGTCCAGATGAGTGTTTGAGTGTACAGCCGCTCATTTTCTTGTTTTCTTGATTCTGTTTGTTGTTAACTGTTGTTTCCAGTAAATACTTCAAACCTAGCAGAAGTGGGGGAGGGGTGTCATGTTGCCCTTTTTTCTCCCCTCGTGAGTTTTCTTTCTGCTGCCGCTCACAACTGGAAAAAATAAAACACTAAAGAGGGTGGAGTTTAGAGAGGCTGTCTGCAATCTAACGGCTGTTTGATTTGAACGACTTCCATGAAAAAAAAAAACTTAACCATAAAAACGTTCAGAAATAACGACCTTCAAAGCTCCGCCCCTTCAAAACCTTTCCTGATCAAAACAAGGTCGACCTTTGACCTTCTGTCTTAATTAGCCTGCTTTTCAAAACGTTTTTTCAACGATAAAATCATAAAGTTAAACTTTGATGATGAGATTATTTGAACTATTTTATAATGTGTAATCATCAAAACTGTTTATTTTAGGGTCTCAGCTGCAGCCAATAGCCTTCATGTTGTTAAAGCTTCGTCTCCCTCTGGTGTCTGAATGCAGAAGCTACATCAAGACAAATAAAAGCCCAGAATGGATCAGAAGAAATTACCTCGCTGGAGAAGTAGCAATAACGGTTTATAGTTCACACCTTTAATGTTGTTCCAACCATGAACGTAACTTTACAACCTATATTTAATCTAATATGATGTACTGTACATGCACAGAGAGAGAGAGAGAGAGAAAGAGAGAGCGAGAGGAGCTCCAGGTGCCAGTTCCCCCTGTAGTCTAAGCCTATAGCAGCATAACTAGGAGCTGGTCTACACCAGCACTAACTATAAGATTTATCAAAAAGGAAAGTTTTAAGTCTATTCTTAAAAATACAGACTGTGTCTGCCTCCCGGACCCCGGCTGGAAGGCGGTTCCAGAGGAGAGGAACCCGATAACTGAAGGCTTTACCCCCATAGTACACTTAGAGACTGTAGGTACCACTAGCAGGCCTGCACTCCGGGACCGTAATGTTCTCGAGGGGCAGTACGGCACTAGTAGCTCCTTAAGATAAGATGGTGCCTGGCCATTTAGAGCTTTGTAAGTGAGAAGAAGGATCTTGAATTCTATTCTAGACTGTATAGGGAGCCAGTGCAGAGAAGCCAACACAAGAGTAATGTGGTCCCTTTTCCGGGTTCTGGTCAGTACACGAGCTGCAGCGTTCTGGACCAGTTGAAGAGTCTTTAGAGACTTGCCAGAGCACCCTGACAAAAGAGAATTACAATAATCCAATCTGGAGGTAACAAATGCATGAACTAGTTTTTCTGCATCATTTTGCGACAGGATATTCCTGATCTTAGATATATTACAAAGGTAAAAATAGGCTGTTCTTGAAATTTGCCTGATGTGAGAGCTAAAGGACATATCTTGATCAAATAGAACTCCTAGATTCCTAACAGTGGTGCTAGATGCCAGACTGATGTCATTAAGGACAGTAAAATCACTAGAAAAAGTCTCTCTGAGGTTATTAGGGCCTAGCACAATAACTTCAGTCTAACCCTACATTTCTGGTCATCCAGGTCCTAACGTCCTTAAGGCACGTTTCTAGCTGGCATAACTGACTGGTGCCATCGGGCTTCATTGATAAATAAAGCTGAGTATCATCTGCATAACAATGAAACTGTATGGAGTTTTTCCTCATAACATTTCCCAGAGGAAGCATATATAATGTAAAGAGAATTGGTCCAAGCACTGAACCTTGTGGGACTCCATGGCAAACTTTGGTGTGCATAGAGGACTCATCATTAACATGTACAAACTGAGATCGATCTGATAAGTAGGATTCAAACCAACTTAAAGCAGTCCCTGTAATTCCAAGTCAATGTTCTAGTCTGTATAATAGGATCTGATGGTCAATGGTGTCAAAAGCAGCACTAAGATCCCCTGTCTGAAGCTAGAAGTAGATCGTTTGTAACTTTAACTAGTGCAGTCTCAGTGCTATGGTGGACTCTAAATCCTGACTGAAACTCCTCAAATAAACTGTTGTCATGGAGAAAGTCACACAGAAAACTGGAAAACTGGAAAACTGTAAGGTTTTGGATGTCAATGCCATAAACTAAAACAAGATCCAGGGTGTGGTTAAAACGATGAGTAGGTTCGTTTACACCCTGGGTAAAACCAATAGAGTCTAATAATGACATGAAAGCTGTGCTAAGGCTATCATTATCAACATCCACATGGATATTGATGTCACCTACAATAATTATTCTATCACTGCTAAGGACTAAATCTGATAAAAAATTCAGCAAATTCAGATAGAAACTCAGAATATGGGCCAGGAGGGCGGTAAACTACAACAACTAGAAGTGGCTGAAAGGTTCTTGAGACTGGATGTAAAAGACTAAGAACAAGGCTTTCAAAAGAAGAAAAATTCAGCTTTGGTCGATAAATGAGCTGTGTCTGACCAAGGCCCCTCTCTGGAAGGTCTTGGGTGTACTTGGTCTTTCTCGCTCCATGTCCTATTGTTTACGGTGAGAAGGCAGACTCAGAGGGCAGAACAAACACCTAGCTGTGGGAGTGTCACCCACCTGGGGGAGGGGCTACTGCCCTTTGTGATGTCATGAAGGGAAAGTCTAGAGACACATGTTAGAGGAACATGGAGAAGAGGATTTTAGAGAATACGAGACCCTTAAGGCTCCCACATTTAAACCAATTTCATTGCCAATCATATAACGTAATGTACTTTTAGTTTAACATAAGCTTGCAGATCCTGACTTCTGTAATGTGTCCTCAGATCCTTGGATGTGTGCTGATCTACGGGGCAGTGGAACTCAGCGCCTACAACCAACAGGTAAACAACAACAACAACAACAACAACAACAGTCTGCACCCCCCACATGTTCTTCACTGTGGCATCGACATGAAGACAATTCGATCTGCAGAGTCCCTCTGTACCTTTAAGAAAAAGTGAAAGATCCAGCTCTTTATGAACACCTACGATCTGAATGATGAAGATGATGAAGATGAAGATCGGGAGAGTGGGCTCTGCCAAATATGCATTAACATTTTCTGGTTACGGGACATGTGTTGGCAGCCAGAGTCGTCGGTTAATCGGTTCCAGATGTGAACAACAGTTTAAACAATCAGGTGTACGAGTGTTACAGTGTTTACGAGTGTTTTTTTGTTGTTACAGGCTCTATGCTGATTATCCAAACAGAACCAGTCACCAGCCCGTAGTGCAGACACGGCACATGAAGGTGTCGGTCGGGGTTATGTAAGAAACTGAATATTCTCAGAGCGATTCATGAGGATTTATTTGGGGGGGGGGGGTTGGTTTGTGTTTTTGAATATAAAGGCTGGTTTGTAGTCACAACATCCCACGCACAATCCTGCACTCTATCGTACCTGTTTGGAAATGTTTAGAAGGAGTTGTGGTGAAGCCTTGAGAGTGTTTATGAACACGCGAACAGCTGCCAGCACATCGTGGAGTCTTTCATTTCTTTAGTTAATCCAGAACAGATGTTGCCGGGGAGGTTTTTCCATTCTCACAGTCGACTTTCTCTGCAGGAGAGAAACAGGAACGCTCTAATGGCAATGCAAAATCAGATCTCTCACCATGGAGACGGTGATTTAACTCATTATGTTTTTCATCCAATCCAGTTATCTTTCCATTTCTGTACAACATTTTCCAAATCACATCCTCACTGGGGTGGAGGGTTTTCATTTGTTAAGGCTGAAACTTGATACCCGTTTAAATATTTCTGTCTTAAAATCCTAATTGGAAAAATAAATGGCCATTCAAAAGAAGTATTGGAACCTATTTATGTGGTGTACATTTCATCTGATCTGGACAATCAAAAGCTAGTAAATGTTGTCTGAATCAAGCTTTGTGTCCAGAGTCCCCACAAATATCTATAAAACCCTTATAAGTTTTTACCAACCAAAACAATACACCATGCTAACAACACTGTACTGTCTGTAAATATGTCAAACAGTATCGTCACTAAGGCTGTTGCTGTTTTAACCAATAGGAAATCATCACTAATGCACCACGAGTCAAAGGTCAACACTGATTGGTCTGTTCATGTGTCAATCAATCTCAGGCTAGCCTAGCTTATCATGCTAACAGGACCTGCTGTGTAATGACAGGTAGGCGAGTTGTCATACTGAACAGGATGTCAGCGTTTTTCAAAGAGCTCTAGGAGAGTTACAGCTTCCTTTGAAAGTACCAGCCAATGAAGATGCTGGGTTTTGCACACACTGCAGGTGTTCATTTTCACTCCCCCACAGTGGAAATGCTGACATACAGAATTATATTAAAATGAGCAGAAAAAACAGTAAACTATAAACAATGTATACTGGATCACTGCAGATAGTTTAATTTTAATATACCAGTTCATAAGATTACATAATTACATATTAATAAAGCTGTCCTCCTGTGAAGGGGGGTTGGTGGGTGGTGTGTTTAAAATCAAATACAAAAAAATGTCTAATTCCCTTCAAAACAGGAATGAATATCTTTGAAAACTAACATTCAAAATGTTGAATAATGCCTGCCTCTTTTACATTGTTATTTTGTGTTTTTTTGGTCTCTCCATTTTCCTTCCATGGTGGACTAGATGGCGGCAGTTAGTTCTCCCAGCTTTGCTTGGTTGTGGGTGTTTGCCATCGGCATCCTCTGCATCTCCTGTCTGGGAATCTATGCAGGATGCTCTGAGAAATCCCTCGTCCTCAAAATAGTACGTACAAGAGCCCCCAACAAACCGTAACCTTCTGTCTATCAATCAAACAAGAAATGTTTGTGTCTTGATAATCTCTGAATGTTACCTCCCTTGCAGTTCGCAGGCTTCATGGCCCTTGGGATGATCATCATGATGATCATTGGCATTGTTGTCGTTGTCTTTAGGGACAAGGTCAGACATCTACCTCAGATAATACCATCGATCTTTGTCTTTTTTTTAACCATTGGCATGCTTATTTCTGTCTCGACTCCAAATTCCCTTCACTGTCTGTGGATTAGCCACCAAAATATAATACAATACAATAATAGACGGCAGGCGTGCGTGTGTTTGTGGATTAGAATATTAAAAATCAGTTCAACTGGTCCTCATGTTGGTGGTCTCCCACATTTTGTTTTTATCTGTTAAGAAAGCCAGCCTTTACATTACTCTTAATGTCTTTATTATTACTCTATTTACTGTCTGCTATGATGCTAACTTTGACTTCTGGTTTTCTCAGTCAACCTCCTTCATATATTGTCCATAACGTTCTGTTCTCTTCTTGTAGATTAAACATAAATTGGACAGCGCCACCACTGAAATGGTCGAGCCATACATGGAAGATAAAAATCTGACAGACTTACTTGAAAGGATTCAGGAACTTGTAATGTTTTTATGTCTTCTATTTCCCTTATTAGTGTGCTGCTTCTAATGAGCTCTACAAGGACAAGTGTTACAGTAATAATGAATTGTTCAAACGGAGAAGTTTAAGCTGATGCTTCATGAAACAGAACACTTATTATCTCCCTTTCAATTTGTCATATTAAACATCCTGTGTGTTCAAACCAGCTGAAACTCATTATGTGGTTGCAGGGTAAGTGCTGTGGAGTGAAAGGCGCCTCAGACTGGGGTGACACTATCCCCAAGTCTTGTGAGTGCAACCGTCAGAATGAAGGATTTTATTTTCAATCTGTATGCAAAGCAAAACCTCAGGTTGGTGTTGTTAAATCTATTTACATTCAAACTACTTAGTTAATCCCTTTAGGGGGTATTGGTTTGGAGAAGCTTGTACATGAATGAAACTGGAACACTTGAACTAAGACAGGTCCTAAATGTTGACAATGTCAGATTGTTGTTTCGGAAAGTAAGAACTGGTGCCACTTTAATGCATCAGATAACTGGTTTCAAGATTGAGGCACTTTCCAACAAGGACTTTATAAGTAACATCCCGAATAGTACAAGTGTTTCAGTTTCTTTTCTTCTTGGAAGATATCTGTTTGAGTGATTCAGTATTATCCTAACAATATCATTATTTTATAATTACAGGGAACCAAAGGCCCAGACACAATCTATGAAAAGGTATTTAACCATCCAACCATCCATCCAACCAACTGACCAATCAACAATCCAACTGACCAACCAACTAACCAACCATCCAACCATCCAACCATCCAACCAACCAACCAACTGACCAATCAACCATCCATCCAACCAACCAACCAACTGACCAATCAATCACTTAACCAACCAACTGACCATCCATCCATCCATCCAACCAACTGACCAATCAAAGGACCAACCAAACAACAGTCAAACCGACCAATGAATTTTCCAAATAATTACCTTATTGTTTTTTGTTTTTGCAGAACTGCAGCAGCTTCGTCTTTAAGTGGATCAATGTAGTCTTTCAGCTCGTCATGGCTTTCTTCTTTGGATTTGCCGTCACTGCAGTAAGCTAAACTTATGCTTTCAGTGATTGAAATATTTAAAACAGAGGGGTTAATCCCCCTTGTCTTTAAAGACTTTGTTACTTATACTGAACTTTTGTAAGTTGGACAGACCAATGATTACATCTGGTGATATAAAGGAACGAAATGGGATTAATAAGTCTTGGAGGTATGAAATTTATTGGTCACCTCATCAGAATAAATTTTCCCAGACTTTTGCAAAAGTGAAAAAAAAAACAAATAGGTATGATTAGCTCATGTCTGGATTGACACACACTGTACGGGGGGTGAATGTTTTGATGACTCATCAGTTTTGATTTGATGAAGGATAAGAGTTATTCACAATAAGGCGTGTAGCTGACCTGATAGGCAGGTGGACGCCTGCAGGGACATTATTATTCACACTGTGTGTATAAACCTGATAATATTAAGATGTTTTTATCAGTGGATCCCTCAATACCCTAACCGTAACATAGAATCATAGTTTAGCTGAATATCCTGCAGCTCCAGTTAACAATTCCCAATGGTTGAATAGAGCAATTGTTTTGCCAGTCACGGGTAGAGTGGATCCAAGCTCTTAGATTTTGGATCTGTTTCTTCCTGTTATCTTGCTTCATTAACCTTTGAGAAATCTTTGATGAGGTTGGAGTTTTGTACACTTCAAATGTATTTTTGTACACATTATATCTTGTGTAGCCACGGCTTTGTGTTAGCTTGACGAGCTAACAGTCAGATTTAGATGATGACAAGGAAAGAAAACATTGCTGGATTTGGGAGGAAATGTCTTAAAATGTACAAAATGTCTTTAACTTGTATTTTAATTGAAAGCGTTTGAGATTTGTCTGTTGGTCTAAGTGAGTGTCCGTCTTTATAGCTGCTGGGCCTGCTGGTCTCCCTGCTGATGATCTATCAGGTCAGACGTCATGACAGCGCAGGAGGATCGTCCATCGCCATGAAGGGCTACTGAAGACACCCCTGACCTTTAACCTCTGCACTGTAAATGGAGGACTCTGCTGTCCATTTATGACTTCTTTCCTTTTTTTTTTAAACTGCATTTCTGCCCTTTAACAAAAGACGTATTGTTGTATTGTGAAAATTCTGCAAACATTTATTTTGTTGGTTTTGTGATTATCTGACGTAGTATTGTAATCGTGCATGTGTAACAAAGACGTATTGAACAAAGAAGCAGCTTCTGAACTCGTCCATGACAACTTCTGACTGCAGCATGATTAACCCGAGAAGGTCATTAGCTAAAATATATTACCAGAGATTTAGAGAACGACAGATTTAATATCCATCATTTCAAAAACGGAGACTATACACACATGCTCAAAGCCCCGAGCGAGTAGGTGGACTACAACAACAATGGCCGACTCCTGAGTTCTGTTTGTGCTGCTCACGCTTTGTAGTTCAGGGTGACCTTACCACTCTGTAGAAAGAAGAGGATGTGACCATGAGCATTTCATTACACAGTCACAGCGCCTACTACTGGTACGGAGGTTGTTATCAAAACATTGTCTGTTCTGTTTTCAGTGGCTCGTTCTCGTGTCACGGTCTAAAAGTCGATGCAGACATGACTCATGATCTCATTGGACTATGAGCCCATCACCAGTTGCTCCTAGATTGTCAAACTATTTCTATTTTAAACGTAGGTCCACTAACCAAGCTGCAGTATTTGATCTTTACCTTTAAAAGTAAAAAAAAAAATATTCAAGTGTAATACAAATACTCTGAAAGGAAGTGTTTATTGTGAAATCTGTACTTGTATTGTTTCAGAATAAACTGACTAACCTTTATGTCTACCTCGTGTGTTCATGTCAGTATTTGCAGGGCTCGATTCAGAACTTAAATAACTGGAGAATAGAGTGGTCGTAAGAAAAAGACACGGGAAACAAAGAGCCAAAACCAGAGACCAAAGGAGCAGTATGTCACTCTGACCCCTAGTGTTTAAAATGAGTACTGCAGTCTAAATTCTCAACATTGTAGAGAGCTGTCTCTCCAGAGGCTTTTTAGGTCGGGTACAATCACTTCTATCTGAACCACTTCTCTTGCCCGCTTCCATCGCTGCAACACCTGTTGACCTGATAACTGCTCTCATATCTGGCAAACCGAGGGGCGTCCAAAATGATCTTAAAAGCGCCTACCTTCTCTGGTCCAAACAAATCCAGAGCATTCAGGAGCAGAATCTAAAGTTAGAAGGAGGACATACTGGCTGCTGCATTGTTGTCAGAGAAGCCAGCACTTCAACATAGCATGTTTCCTTAATGTCTGATCAGATAGTAAGATACCTTTATCATCTCACTCTCTACACATCTCACTGATTGGACCTCTAAGTATGTCTGCTTTGAGGAGGATGGTTTTTCCCTCCCCTGCATGCAGGGTGTTGTAGCGACTATCATGTGCACTTTTGTCCGCTTACTGAATAAAGTGACCTCTAGATGGCAGCAAACACCAGACGACAAAGTGACTGTCCAACCCGGTCTGATTCAAATGCCTTCTTTATCCTCCACAGTACATTCATATGATACAATGGAGAGGCAGACAACCAATCAGGGACATAAAGGGTTTTAATCACTCTGGATCTAGTGGCTGCATCGTTATCTCTGAGACGAACAAACCTGATCAAAGTGAGTCTGACAACATGACAATATGACCTACAGAAATAATAAAACATATCTTAACATGAACTGAGCATCAAGTCTCACTCTTTCCCGAGTCTCGGAGTTGTTGGTCTGACTTGAGCAGGCGTTCATGTGTCATTC